AATATCGCTTATAACTCTTAAAATAAAGAATCTTGCTTATAAAGTTAAGTATTAATTGCAATACAGTTTGAACTTGGATTTGCTAAAGAGGTACTACTGTTGGCAACTAGAACTTCCTTAATATTGCTGAAATGAAAATATTAAACTAAAATCTAAAGAGGTAAGGTAAAAGCAGAAAAATAATAGCTTAAAGTCGACATTATAAAACAAACTAAGATCGTGAAACACTTTTAACAACATTTTTTTTTTATTAAAAATTTTATTCAACCTAGTGATTATCCCGTATAAGAGTTACTCGAGTCCAGAGTTGGCAATAGAGTTCAATAGAGCCCAATGGAGCTGAGAATAGAGCCAATAGAGCTCTGAATAGAACCAATAGATACTGGTTTTTTGGGTTCCATTCGCATAACCATTGAGCTCCATTGGCTCCATTGCCAACTCTACTCAGGTGACCCAGATTTTCATAAAAAGTAGAATGTTGATTAAAAATGAATACATACATAGTTTTAATTGCTATAGGCATGGAATTGATGCCAAAAAGGAGAAATATAGAGCATTCACACACCATCAAAAATCTGCAGACTTGAATAGTTTTTATGAGATGAATTAAGTTGGCTATTGTAATCTTAACATAATTGGAGTTGAGAAAGATGAATGTCAGGCATTCATTTGACATGAAAAATCAGCAAATGAGAGAAATTCTAACAGAATGCAACAAGTTGGCTATTGTCATTTTCACAGAATTTGAATTGAAAAGAATGAACATTAGGCATTTACTTGGTATAAAAAATCAGCAGATAAGAGATATTCTAACGGACTACATCATGTGGTATTTGTTACGATTCATGAATTAGAGTTAAAATCGAAATACAAAAGATTTAGGACTGCAAGAAATCCACTAAGACAAACAATTCAAAAGGATTCTCTAAATAAAAAGTTCTTTTTTTAATTTTATATCAGATATTGATTTATTAACCTCATCTAACTTCTATTTATTTCTTTTTTTATTTCAATAAAGTTCTTACGAGACAAAAACTATCAAAACAGATAATAGGCTTGTTCTTTTTTGAGCGATTAATTTTTAACTAATTGTGCAATTAGGAACTTGATTGAGTAATTGGGTGATTATGCAAAGTTCCCGTGTTGCAATTAATTAAAGATATTTTTGATTATTGTGATGCCAGAAATAACGATTGAGCAATTGAACAATTAGGTATTTAGTGATTAGATAATTGAACAATTAGTTAATTGACCAAGCAATTACTACATATATACAAGTATTCCTTTAACAATAGTTATATTGAGAGTGTATAATAAAAAAAAAAAAGTACTTAAATAAAAATTGCCTTATTATTGAGTTTTATTATAATTAATTTATTTAAATAATTAACATTACAATACCGGTACTTAAATTTAAACAAATTTATCAATCGCTTATCTTTTCAAATTGCAAAAGGCTGGCATCATAATTTACGTTAAACCAGTATTGTTGTAGGAAACTTAAAGATAATA